CACACATCGGAGTATAATAATTCAAGAGGATGAGAGCTAGAAAGTGAAGATAATGAGAATGGTAATTTATGAGTTTTGCTACAATGACATGAATTACAAGAAGATTTGGAGACAACGGACGAAGATGATAGAGGTAAAGTTTGACTAGAAATCAAATGACGCAAGACGTCTTTTGATAGAGGTAAAGTTTGACTAGAAATCAAATGACGCAAGACATTAAAAGACGGCTGACCAAGGTGATGATGCCATTGATCGATAGGAGCTTTTATTGAAGAAAAGGCAATCATGGGCTTATTTGTTGATGATGAATGCGGCCATTCATAAACACCATCTCTAGTCGCTCCTTGCATTAGTGGTGCCCCCGTGCGAAGATCCTTCACAGAAAAAGAAGATGGTGAGAATTCAACAGAAACGTTATTATTGGTACAAAATTGAGAAACTAAGATGAGATTCTTTTTCATAGTTGGAACACATAAAACATTTTTCAAGACAAAGGATTGGGAAGAAGATGGTAGGATGGTGGAGCCAGTGTGAGTAATGGGCAAACCAGTGCCATCGCCAATATGGATGTTCTCAGCAACAGGATACTCAGAGTGGAGAGATAAGTTCTGGAGATCTATTGTAACATGATGAGATGCACTAGAGTCAAGAAGCCATTTAGTTTCTGATGGTGCAGGTGGAGTAGTGAGATAGGCTTGAGGAGCGGCATAGTGGGCTTGAGGGGAGTAGGAAGGATTGCTGGTGAAATTCGGTTGAGGATTTATGGGACTAGGGAATATGTTTAAACATTGGACAACGTTTGGCAGAATGGCCTTGTTGACGACAAAGTTGACACTTTCCTAGGTAGGGACGCGGTTGTTGACCAAAAGGAGTAGATTGGTGTGGTGGAGGTAAAAAAGGACGGTTTTGGGGATAAAAGGGTGGACGGGCTTTGTTCATTGATGGTGAGTAGAAAGAGCGATTTTGTGGTGGGTATTTGGGTGGATTATGAGATGGTTTTTGTGCTGGGTTGGCAGTTGCAGGCATGTTTGAAGGATTAGCGTTCTTGCGTGCTTCATACTTGAGATGTGCTTCAAAGTTGATGAGTTTTTCATGCAACTCATCAAATGTGATGGGGCTTTCACGGATTCTCATGGCTGAGCAAAGATCTTTGTAATCGTCATCCAATCCGCCTAAGATTCGTAATATGAAATCCTCGTTGTCAACAAGAGCATTAAGCATGGCGAGTTCATCTGCAGTGACCTTGCCAAATTGCTTGTAGTCGGCAATTGACTGTGTGCCTTTGTGGAGAAGACGAAGATCTTCTTTTAGTTGGGTTAGTCATCCTCGAGACGGTTTGGCATAGGTGTTGGCGGGAATAGTCCAAGCTTCACGAGATGTTCTTGCAGATGCAATAAAAGGAACCAAATTAGGAGAGATAGATCCGGCAATGGCGCTGAGAATTAACTGATCTTGCCTGACCCAGAGAGAATAGTCGAGGTTTGGAGTGGGGTTGTCGCCTTTGGCTGTAGTGATGGTTGGTGATGGACACGGTCTGGATCCATCAATGAAGCCCATGAGGTCATAACCTATGAGAACGGCATGAAATTGGAACCGCCATGATGTGTATTTAGAGGAGGTAAGTTTGATTGAAATTTGGGTGTTGGTATTGATGGAGATAAGAGAGCAATTATTGTCAAAAGGATTAACAATGGTTGGACGATCATGGTTGAAAGAGGTGGCGAATGAAGTTGCAGTGATGGGATTTGCTTGGGATTCAGCCATTTCTGAAGAGAGAGAAAGAGTGAAATCGAAAGAGTGAGGGGGAGTGTTGATTTGTGTAATTATAACCGGATTTGTATAGCTGTAACCAGATTTGTATAGCTTATTGTAGGAAAGTTGACTCTAGAGGATTGATACTAAAAAGAGTGTTAGGGTGGCTCTGATACCATTTAGATTTAGAGAGAAAACTAGGATTGAGAGAAAAAGGCTTAACATTCATTCATTGAGTGAGCAAGGTATAATATATACATCTTACATGATTGAATCAAAATAAGAAATGAATAATTATCCTATTACTAATTTCGTAAAATACAAGATTTATACAAAGATAGAATATTGACAACGCAAGAATAGGTAATATACAACAAAGAAACAGTTGACTATGAAATTGCCTTAATAGTTTCCTAATTGGGTTGACTAATTTTTGGTTAGTTTCCTATTCTGTATTTGTAGAGGAGTCTATATATTGTAATGCTTTTCTTATTCGGCGAAATCAGAAGAAAACACATTCATTCTTTCAAACTTTCAGCTATTTCACCACAGCTTGTTCTATATTGTACCAAGTGCATCCATATTTGTCCTATGTGTATCAGGCATTTTTGCTTAGAAGAGAACAGCTTCTTTCCTTTATTTATTGGCTAACATTAGGTGGTGGATTGGACTGGATCATTTGTGGACTTTCTAAATGAGAGTTTTTTTGGACATGCAGGATCAAAGTCAACATGCACGCGTCTCAGGAAAAGCCTCCCCAGAATGGTTCATCCATGACCACCTCTCTGGTCCCACCTACAGCAGTGCTTACTCCAGGTTTACATTCCACTGAACATACTCCAGAGACTAAATCGTAGGGTGGCTGGTCTAGATCATACGACATCGTTTTCAATCTCCACTGCTACCTCAACAATGGGGTCACATACTATTAACCAATCAAGCTTCTGAAAACTACGTGTTAATAAAGCGGTGAGATTTAGTAATTTTCTGTTCCTTTCACATGAAACCAAAATCAAAATGATAGGAGCCAGATAGGAATTTATCAAAATTAATGACTTGAAATATTGGACTTAAGCCCAAGTGTACTGTAATTATGTGGAATGAGTTGCTCTATGTTTTAATGTCGTTTTTTTTTTTTTTTTGTGTAAAGAACTTTCTCTGTTTTATTGCCGAAAACACTCTACAAAGTTGCTTGTTATCTCGGTCGGCAGAATTATCAATAGCTAATAGCGTCATTCTATATTAATCGCTTTAACTATGAAAGGAGGCTTCCAAATTTCCAATAGTAACTATAGAGTGTAGCTCATTTGGGTTGAGGAAATTAATTTATTGTGCTCATGGGAACTTGTCAAGAATGTAAAGGTAATCCTTTGAACTTATAACAGTTTATAACAGTTCTTCTTGAGTTCTCCAGTTGAAATTGGTTGAATTTGTGGAAGTTTTGCACAAAAGAAGAATTGGTGGAAGAGTTTTACAAAGTTCTTATTGTCACTTTTTTGAGGAATTTCTGTGCTAGGCTATCAAATGAGATTAAAAAAAATGATATTTAAGGAGATTTTTTTATACGCCTAGCATATTGGTATGTTATGTTTTTTTAATCGTTAAATCTACATATTTCTTAATTTTTACGTAATTTTATACAAATTTAACATATAAAAAATTTAACCTATCGGCGTGTAAGTTTCAGATATTTAATGGTTTGGAAAAATTGTCTTGTCAGTAAATTTTTTTTTTTTTTAAAAGCGTTTTTTTTTCCTGCCATGTTCCTTACACAATTCAAAATGTGTACGTCATTATTGTAGTGGGATAATATCAAGCAAAATTTTGTAACAAGGCAATTAAAAAATTTTACGGATATTGCATAGTTTTTTTTTTTTAGTAAATATTGCATAGTTTTTTGATATCATATTGTACTAAAAAAATTGTGGTAAAAAAGAAAAGCATAATTATAAATTTTATGAGAATTTGATGGTTTGGAATCAAATAATATATATATATATATGAGCGTATTTTATGTACCATATTATAAACTATTCTTATTTAGTTTTAGACACTATTCAGTATAAAAAAAATTCTAAACAGAACATGCAAATGAGGGAAATATGCAAAAATCTAAATGCTGCTGATTAGATGCCTCTTTCAGATAAAAATGCTACTGATTAGTTAAAAAACGAGGCTGTTCCAAGCTGTTCCAATTTCTAAATAAAAACAAAAAAAAACAAAAAACAAAAATCCTATCCCAAGATGCAAATGTGGGAAAAAGTAGTTAGGTGAGACTAGCCAGTAAGTCGCTAATTCAAGAGAACATGCTTTTATTTATTTATTTATTTATTTTAAGTCTACATATCAGTAGAAGTAAAAAGGATTTTTTCTAGTTGAGTTTCTTAGATATAGTATTAACAATATGTAAAACAGATAATTTTTAATATAAATTTTATAATTAAAAAATAAAAAATTACCGTTGTTTATTATTATTATTTTTATTTTTTGTCTTATCAGACCCGAAAAAAGGAAGAGAAAATGCATTTTTTTCTTTTCCTTTTTCAAATATATATAGAGTTATAGACCACCTTGGACATTTTAACACAAGCAACTAGTTCTATCTGTCGTTAGCGCGTTTACAACCGAAACCACGTGCTTCGTTAGTTCCTGTCCTATTCCCACACCTCCGAACGACACAGTTCTCCTTTAATACTATATACGTAAATTCTTACGTTCAGATTCATTTAGTTCGTTAATTTTAATTTTAATTTAAGTTAAAATTTAATTTTATATGAAAATTTTTTATTATAATGAGTTTATGAATCCGTGAGTTCTTTTTTATTGGTCTCTTTTTTATTTCTTGCTAAAGTAAAAGGTTTTTTATAGTCTCTCTCTAAAATACCACACATCTTTGTTTTCACTTCCTTATTCTTCACTCTTTTCTTATTACTGAAAACGAAATTCAACCAATCTGAGCTTTCTGCAACGTAAATCATATTTGATTAGAAAAGAAGTTGAATCTGGTATAATAAGTAACAACAGACCAATCTGATACTTATGTTTAGCTATCCGAGTAATCGGGGCACTTCAAAACTGTTGTTTGATAGCTTTTGCTTACTTTATCGTATATGAATCAACTCTCTAATTTTAATATTTTAAGTCTATTGCCTTTTTTGAAATACGCATAGATCTGACGATTTTCTTTCAAAGTCTCAAAAGTCTTTCTAGTCTGGCTTTTTGTTTAGTTTTAGATATATATTTCCTTGTTTTACGCTGTGTTGTCCAGAAGAACATTTATTAAGGGTCGGAGAGAGAGAGAGATAGAGAGATGGCTATTGCTCGGTTAAACCGCCAAGCAAAACGACCGTACGGATTATGGGCAAAGACGACGGCGGTAACTATCTTGGGTCTATGCTTTATATTCGTTTGGTCGTTCTTTTCTTCTTCTTCTTCCACTTCAGTGACCGCTCGGAGAGAGAGCTTCGACGACATAGCAGAACCCATATCAGGAAACTCGAGGATAAGCAATTTCGGAACTCAAATAACCCATGAAAATGAGAAGAGTAAGAAGAAATCTGGGTCTGATTTGGAAAAGGATGATAAAAGAGTTAATGGGTCTGTTTCAGTTTCAAAGTCTATCAATGAGCATAAATCTGAGAAGAAGAACACAAGAGTAGTAGCGAATAAAAAGAAGTTACCGGAGAAGAAGCCTAAGGAGGGAAATGATAATAAGCCTGTGGAATCTGAAGGTGAAGAGGATTCAGAGAAGGAAAAAGAAGGACTGGTTGTGGATGGCAAGGAAGAAGCTTTAGATGGTGAAGGTGAAGAGGCAGAAGGAGAAAATGTTTTGGCTGAGGCAGTGGATCAGGAGGAAAGTGAAGAGAAGAAGTTGGAAAGTGACGGCAGTGAATCGAATAGAGGGAAGAAGAGAAAGAAGATAAAAGGTCCGGTTTTTGATCCGAAAATGAAGTATAATTGGAAACTATGTAGCACAAAGAGCAAACACAATTATATCCCTTGTATTGACTATGATACCAGCTCTTTGAGGCTCCAAAGTTATCGGCATACGGAGCGGACTTGCCCGAAAACACCGGTGATGTGTCTTGTGCCTCTTCCACATGATGGTTATGAAATTCCAATTCGCTGGCCGGAGAGCAAAGTGAAGGTAAAAAAATGCTTATCCTTTTGTGTGTGAATTATTGTATATGGAGAGGTAAGGTTTAATGGCGTTATGTTTTGGTACTTTGTTGCTTTCTACAGATATTATATAAGAATGTGGCACATCCAAAACTTGCAGCATTTGTTAAGAAGCATAGTTGGATTATGAAGTCTGGAGAATATCTTACTTTCCCGCAAAATCAATCTGAATTCAAGGGTGGAGTTCTTCACTATCTTGAGTCCATTGAAGAGGTGATTTTTCTTTCCCTATTGCCTATGTTTTCTAGGATTTGCCATTTGTTAATTTCTGAAGAGTAGTTCTTGGGAAATACTTTTGTTAGAACACCCAAGTGCGCAACTGATATTTTCCACCAAAAGTACAAACTTTCATTGTTGTTGTCCCACCCTTTTATTCATGAGACAATAGGTTCAAACTTGTTGTATTTCTAGTTCTTTAACTGAATTCTGAAACTTTTGATTTTTTACCAACTACTTATCGATTGCAATGATGTTTAAGTCCTTAAGTTTGCACTACATTTTATCTACAAATGCAACTTATTTAATGGTAAACTTGAATTCAGAATCTTGTTATATTTAGCATTCTAAGTTTAATTTACTTGTGATAGACGGTACCAGACATTGAATGGGGAAAGAATATTCGTGTGGTACTGGACATTGGATGTACAGATTCAAGTTTTGGAGCTTCGTTACTTGACAAGGAGGTATTGACATTGTCATTGGGCTTGAAAGATGACCTCGTTGACCTAGCTCAAGTTGCCCTAGAGCGTGGTTTCCCAACTATAGTTAGCCCTTTTGGAGGTCGAAGGCTTCCTTTTCCAAGTGCTGTTTTTGATGCGATTCATTGCGGTGAATGCAGCATAAAATGGCATTCAAATGGTTTGCCATCTACTTAACTTTGTGTTTTTGTTTTTCTTTAGAATTCCTCTCTGTATTTACATCTTATTTACTCTTTCAAATCCTCTCATTTACAGGCGGAAAACATCTTCTAGAGATGAACAGGATTCTAAGGCCAGGCGGATACTTTATCCTCTCAACCAAACATGACAACATTGAAGATGAAGAAGGTTTTCCCTTTATGTTCCTTAAATATCCTAAATTAGTGAGCTTGTTCATCTCCATTATTCCTAGGCCTAGCGTACGACTCATTTGTGTGAATCAACCGGATTCTTTGGATTTTACTCATAGTCAGGTCATGTGTAGCTTTCTAAGCATTGCAAACTTCGCTTTTCTCTTCAGGTTTATCTAGAACTCTTAATTACAAGATGGGAGTATAGACCATTTTCGCTTTGAGACGCTATATAATAGTTCTAAGTAGATCTCTTTTCTTTTTTAAATACTGTTGTTATTTTAGAAAAAGAAAAGAAACAAAACAAAGCTTTCATGTGTTTAAGATATGTTACTGCAGTGTAAAACTAATTGAGAGCCACGTATATTGAAGCAAAAACTGAATAATACATTAACGTCAGAAACATTACAATTTATAACTTGATGAACAACAACCAACTAAAATCATGGTCCTTAACTTGTGCCATGATAACAAACATGCATAACAGAAAAACAGCAACTTCCTAAAAACTAGGTACGACTATTTTGAATGATTCAAGATAAATAAAAAAGGCTTCATCAACGTGGCAACTCATCTAACCACTTCTGAAAAAGTGGCAGCCATCCTAAACACTTGTCTAACAAATACTATATAATTATGCTCCATAGTGAATTAATTTACCATAGTGTTTCATTCTTTTCAGCCATGACCACATTGACCGCATCTATCTGTTGGAATATTCTGGCTCATAAAACTGATGACTTTAGTGAAGTGGGCGTTAAAATTTACCAAAAGCCTGAGTCGAATGATATATACGGATTGAGGAGAAGGAAAAATCCACCTTTGTGCAAGGAAAATGAAAATCCAGATGCAGCCTGGTGAGTACTGATGGAACTTGCTTTGAAATCTCTGATGTCGTCAATCGTTGAAATTATATAAGTTATGTTCACCATTAACAGAAGACTGACTACTTTTTTTTTTTTTCAATTCTGTTCAAGAAAAGAAAATCATTTATAGATTTAGAAAAAAATAAATAAATAAATGCACGATAGTCTTGCACCATCAATTAGTATTGCCTGTGGTAGAAGTGAAGGAAAAAATATTATCTCGTGTAGCAAAATAGGAGCCCGTACTCTTGCTGGTCTAGATGAAAAATCCCGTACAACTAATTTTCAGCTACTTATCTGGCCTTTTCTCCTTAACCGATACTGGATCCCATAGGCAATTCTTTCCACAAACCTATCTCGTATATTTTCATGTTGTCCTTCTCATGTGGTGATTGCAAAATTCACTGAACAGGTATGTTCCAATGAAGACTTGCTTACACCCAATTCCATCTGCTATTGAGCAACATGGAACAGAGTGGCCGGAGGAATGGCCCAAGAGGCTCGACACTGTTCCTGACTGGTTGGATGATAAAGACAAACTGGTTGCAGACTCCAAGCACTGGTCTTCTATTATTGAAAAGTCATATCTCACTGGATTGGGAATTGACTGGGCGAACATCAGAAATGTAATGGACATGAAAGCCATCTATGGAGGGTATGTCATATTGCCTTTGAAATGCACAATAATCATTTGAAAATCATGACTCAGTCAGTATATGGAACTCTGTTAGGATCCGTTAATGACTTGGGAACTTGTTTGGTTAGTGGGCTGGTATAATTAGTAGGAATTAGTATAAATAAAGGGCTTAGTAGCTTACTAGAAGTATGTTGTGATTTGGAGAGTTTTGAGAAACTGAGGCCCCGTTCATTTCGCTGATTCGAGTTTAGAATTCGAGTTTTGCTACAGTAAAAAGCTCTCACAAACAATCACATCTAACTTTTTTGCTACAGTAAAAAGTTCTCACATAAAATCACATCTCAACTCGAATTAAAAACTCGAATCAGCGAACTAAACGGGCCCTGAGATTAGGGAGAGCGGTGGTCTCTCGAATACCACTAAATTAGGAGTTCTCGGAGTACTCAAATTCTCCGTTCTATCCTTTACATTTCAGTGTAATTTGGTGTTCTTGGCTGATTAGATTAATAAAACTTCCTCTAATTATTCTCATTTTCTTGCTGTTTCTGGTGTGTGTGAGTGTGGTATTGGTGTTTGGCTGATTTTCTGAGCTAAGATCCTAACAATGGTATCAGAGCATCTACAATCCATGGAGCTTTTTGAGTTAAGAGAGAAACTTAAGGCTATTCTGAGAGGTAATCTCAAGGTTTCTGGAGGGAGTATCGGGGGGCTCCGGGACCAGGTGGGGAAGGTTCGGACTCAGATGGAAGACGTGCAGGCGGTGCTGCGGAGGATGGAGGCACTGCTGGCGGGGCGACCGATGGCCGGGAAGGCCGAGTTGGGTCGCGACGGCGAATGACGAGACGGGGAGAGGCGAGATCGCGCGCCTCGGGGCGTGGAGAGCCCAAATCGCGTCGACCCAGGCGGAGTAGAGGTGCCAAATCTGGCGGATCTTCACCGGGAAGCGCCGATTCACGAAGATCGAGGCCGCGAGAGGGAGTTCCGACGCCGGGGAGACGTTGGTCTTATGGAGGAGCGCGAGATTCGTCGCGATCTGGGGCTGGGTGGTCCAGATCTACAGCGTGAAGGGTTGTTCGACGACGGGAGGAGGGCGGACGGAGGTCGCGACCGTCGGGAGAGGGCGGCGGAGCTGGTTTGGCGATGGGAATCGGAATGCGAGCCGGAGTTAGAGGAGGAGAGGCTTGCTCCGGGGCTGGGACGGCATGGGTACCCTCGGAACAGAGAACCCATCCCTGTTTCGGTTGCGGTTGGGGCTGATTCCAGACTAATTTGGATCGGGCCTCGCGATTTCGGCGTGAAAGGGGCTGATTCCGGTGCTACGAAGACAGATCCCAGCGCGACGGAGTCTGGGCTCAACGATTTGGCTGCTGTTTGGATAGTGCCTCACGATTCCGGCGTGAAAGGGGTTGATTCCGGTGTACTTGGGGCTAGTTCTGACGCCATGAAGGCTGGGATTTGCAATTCCGACGCGATGAAGATCAATTCTGGCGATTTGGGGGCTGGGTCTCTCGATGGGAGGGCTGGGACTTGGAATCCAAGTGTCATGAGGGATGATTTTGGAGTAATTAGAATTGGGTCTTGGAATTCCAGCGTGATTGGGGCTGATTTCCGCGCAATTAGGGCTGGGCTTCGTGATTTTGGTGCGATTAGGGCATATTCTGGCGAGCCATGGGCTGGGTTTCTCAAATCCGGCGTGATTTGGGTTGGTTCCGATGCCGTTAAGGCTGGGTTGCACACTTCTAACGCGATTAAGGACAATTCCAGTGACATTTGGACTGGGTCTTCTTATTTCGGTCTAATTGGGGTCGGACAAAGAGCGGGGTGGCAGAAGGGGGGTTGAATGGAATTGGCGTGATAGGCATTGGAAGGAAGTGGAGACACACGGCTACGATTACTTAACAGCTTGAGGACAAGGTGTTTCTTTGGGGCGGAGGTAATGTTAGAATCCGTTAATGACTTTGGAACTTGTTTGGTTAGTGAGCTGGTTTAGTTAGTAGGAATTAGTATAAATAAAGGGCTTAGTAGCTCACTAGAGGTATGTTGTGATTTGGAGTGAGAAACTGAGATTAAGGAGAGCGGTGGTCTCTCGAATACCACTAAATTATGAGTTCCCGGAGTACTCGAATTCTCCGTTCTATCCTTTACATTTCAGTGTAATTTGATGTTCTTGGCTGATTAGATTAATAAAATTCCCTCTAATTATTCTCATTTTCTTGTTGTTTCTGGTGTGTGTGAGTGTGGAATTGGTGTTTGGCTGATTTTTCTGAGCTAGGATCCTAACAAACTCATGCTGAAGGATGTGCACCTTTTTTCTCCAGGCAAAGAATTACGTGAATAGTGCTAGGAATCTCACCTTTTTGGTATTAACTTACGTGGTTGTGGTAGATGAAATCTTTTAATATTAATTGACATGTCAACTTTTTAAACACCTGCAAATAAAAGAATGATAACTCACATGTCATGTAAGTTAGTATTAAAAAGTTGGGATTCTTAGCATTATTCTTAGTTCTCCCCTTATTTTATTTCATGCCTTATACCTTCAAAAAATTGATCGTGAAATGAAGTGGTGATGGTCCTTGTACAGATTTGCTGCAGCCCTTGCAAAACAGAATGTATGGGTGATGAATGTGGTACCTGTCCATGCACCAGACACACTTCCCATCATTTTCGAACGCGGACTTGTTGGAACTTACCATGACTGGTGTGAACCTTTTAGCACATATCCGAGATCGTATGATCTTCTGCATGCTGATCATCTGTTTTCACGGCTAAAGAATCGGTATAGATTGACCTTCTTTTCTCTTCTTTTGCGCAAATCTGTGTTCCAGCAGAATATGGCATTACTTTTGAAGTTTGGCTTGTATGAATTTAACATGTTATTTGACAAGATTCCCTTTTTGGTTGTTGGAAAACCTTTTCCTAAATCCTAAATTAGTGGCGGTTGGAGTTCCTTGGATATGTGATCTCATAAACATTGAAAACTACTTTTGCAGGTGCAACCAGCCAGTGTGGATTGTTGTTGAGATGGATCGCATGTTGAGGCCAGGAGGATGGACAATTATACGTGATAAAGTTGAGATATTGGGTCCTTTAGAAGGGATTTTGAAAAGTTTGAACTGGGACATACGATTGACTTATGCCCAGGATAAAGAAGGCATCATTTGCGCACAAAAAAACATGTGGCGGCCTTGACTTGAACAAAAGAAATGTTTCTGCTCCGACGGTGGTGTGACTACTAATTTAACAAACATTCATGTCTCTCATTACTAGGGTGAAGCTCAAATGCAAAAAACAAAAAAACAAAAACAAAAACAAAACAAAACAAAAAAAAAACTAGAAAGTGAAGATATGCCGCTCTCCATTATTGTATTTGTGATCGTTAACAGCCAACAGGGGCATTGTTGTTTTTTTTTTTTTTTTCCCCTTTTTGATAGGAAACAGAGGGACTGATGGGATATGATTAAGATTTTTTCCTTTTGTTTTTGGTGATTTATTCTTTTAGGCACTGGTGGATGTAAAGTGAGAGATAGGATGTTTCTAAGTCTCATGTCATGAAATGATTAGGCTGACATTTGTGTTTGCGTGTCTTGTTCAGACTGATATGATTATAGCATATACGATTATAATAAATACGAACACAACACGATTAATAAACATGTCAGAAACATAAATACAAATACGAAATGTTAATAACATGGTTAACATGACACGATATGCGAACACGATTATTAAACAGGCCGTGACGGGTTGACACGAAAAAAACGCGTTTATGACCTAATTAGCAAAAATTGTATAATTTTATATTGTATTCAAAATTAATATTAATTGACTACTCAATATCACTTATAGTTAAAATTTGACGTATAATAAGAAAAGTATAAATCCTCTATTTCTCTATAATAGCCAACACATAAAAATATCTAAATATCAAAAACACACACACACACACACATATATATATATGATATTACTAGATTATCATATATATATATATGTGTGTGTGTGTGTGTTTCAAAACATTATATATATATGATATTACTAGATTATCATATATATATATATATATGTGTGTGTGTGTGTGTTTCAAAACATGACCAATTATCAAACATTCAAAAAAGTTTGAAAACATAATTAAGTACATCTAAATAAGTTTGAAAACATAACTAAACATTTGAATGTTAAGTGCATAAAACATAAAATAAATATAAAAAAATATTTTTTTTGAGGTTGAATGTCCAATTACGCTCCAAAATTAGTTTTCAGTTGTTTTAACCTATTCATTGATGTTTTTTTTTTTATAAATGTCATAAGGTTGAATGTCTTTTTTAATTTTTTATAAATTGTTTATTTTTGTATGTGGGTTATAAACGGGCGGGCCGTGTCGTGTCGTGTTGGCCCGTTAACGGTCCGTATAACTAAACGGGTTAAGCGTGTTAAACGGGTTGGCACGAATCCAGTCAATTTATTTTCGTGTTATTCATGTCAAGTCTTTTAACGACATAATTAATAATCGTGTGGTCTAAATTTATTTATCTCATAATATTTTCGTATCGTTTTATCGTGTCGCATCTGAAATTACCGGTCCTATCTCTTTTATTTTATTTTTTTAGTATATTTTAACGTCATTTTTCGTATAAAAGGGATCGATATTGATTGAAGTTGTTCAGCTAATTCCATAATTTACTCAAAGAGAAATGACTGTCTTCACGAAAGTTTCCCTTCACGAATATCACGAAAGGTGCAGATTTTTTTTTTGTCAAAATTCTTGTTACTTTCTTATAAAAGTATTCCACGTGGTTAAAAAAGGAGACTATACAATTGTTTCTCTCTAACTTATGGTTTCCCTCCAATTTATTTTCTTTTTCCCCTCATTCTCATGACTTTCCCTCTTCTTTTTACTCCAATCTCATTCGTATGCTCCAAATCGTCTTTTTCTTTCCAACCCCTTGTTCACCATAATTTGACAAAAAAAGCTCCAAACTTACAGTAATTTTTATTTTTTTCCTTTTATTTTAGATAACATGTTTAGATTTTTTTCCCCTTGTTTTCACAATTTTTTTTTTCTTTTTTCAGCTATGCTTTAAAGAAATTTGCTACCATTAATCTCTTAGTATTTATACTAAATTTTCAAAAGATGATACGAAAATAAATATGAGTAGACGATGTCGATAATATATGCCTTTTGAAGAAGAAGACACTAATGACAAAGAAGTGAGTGTGCAAGACTTTGAACATATTCCGCAAAAAAATAAAAATAAAAAAAGAGTTCGAACATGTCAGATGACAAATTCATTGACTTAGGCTCATTTGCTTTGGAAAAAAACTTGGTAAAAGCTTTTCCATTTACAAAGGCTACTGTAGAAATGTGGACTTAACATTGGCAACGAAGTATAATTACTTAACGTAATAAAGAAATGTGGACTTTACATTAAAATAAAAAAGGGACCCGCGCTGCGATGTATGCAAATGTGGTTTTGAAAACTCCAATGTCGACCTGAGTGCAGGCATTCGTGATTCTTCGAGTTATGAAAAATCGTGAAGTCTAGCACAACTTTTATTGGTGTTTTCTAAATTATAAGCTCATTTTTAATTTGTCTTTTAAATTTTAAAAATTCTCATTTTATTTTATAAATTTTAGATTAGTCTTATTGAAGTCTTTTTATTATAATTTCTATTAAAATCAGATAGGAAAAAAAGAGATTAAGTGTTATGTAGTTTTTATTTGTTTGTTTTTGTAGAAAAATAATGTGCCTGCATTACTATCTTTTTTTCTAGTTATTTTTAACAGAAATTCCAATTAAAAGAGTTAAGTATGAACAATTTAAAATTTAAAAGAAAAATAAGTATTTTTAAAATTCAAAGAACAACTGAAAATAAAACACCGGTGATAATAATCCTCTTATATTGCTCTGTGGAGTTAGTCTATAAATCTTAGCCGAAAGTATCGTTTGTTAAAAAAAAAATATTTTTGGGATAAGGAATTCTGATAATGATTTGAAATCTTCTTTTCACGAATTAGTATTATATAATGTATTATTTTATACTACATAACGGTTTAATAATCATTATAACGATTTTAATTTTTGTTATATACATATAGAACGTGTGATATTTGTACATGAAAAATAACCTTAATGATATTACAATTTTTAAATTAACTATCTTTAAAACCAGTCATAAAAATAATTAATAGCCCACATAAAAAAGAGTAAGGGCAAGTCTATGGTAGGGTGAATTTTTTCACACCCTTAGATTAAAAATGAACGGCTCAAAATGATTGATCAAATAGAAAATTAAATAGGGATTACAATATCTAATTTAACTTAAAAAAAAAAGAAACCGACAACTTGAATCTCACTCTTAAAAAAGCCTCTTCTTCTCTGTCTCTAGTCGCCATCCTCGACATAGTTTGATGTCAGTTTTTGACACCACCGATACTATCAGAAAGATCTTGAGGAGCTGAGTTGTTGACGTGTTGTGCAACATCCACCTTGGTTGGAAAACCGCTGCAATCGCCAGTGAAAATCCGTAAAACAATCAAATTTCAAATCATTGTAACTTCGTCGTCTAACCTCCGATCGATGTGATTTCAGTCTCTATAGGCTCACAACAACGGGACGAACAAAATCCATCTAAGATCACCTATCGATTCTCGCTAGAACACCATCACCGGAGCTACGTAAATCAACCGCTGTGTGTGAGAATGAGCCCGTCATTTCTGACGACTATATGATGTGTCGTTGCTAGAAAAATGTTCACAGGATCATGGGAAACAAAACCCTCGATCAATTTTGAGGTTCCACCACTAAAAAATTGAGATCCAAGTCATCGATTTTTCCCAAAAACCTCAAGTCCAATATGCTACTTAAGTGGACAAATTGGTCAAAATTGACCCCACCATTAAACTCAAAAGAGTCGAATTAGATGGATAGGTCTAAACTTTGCCGTCATATTCACCTCTACTCGTTGTCGCCACCACATGCAACACCGTTGCCGAAGGTGGTGGAGTTCGATTACATAGATCCTCACTGAGATCGAATTTGAGCTTTTGGATCACATCCTACAGGTAGTGAAAAAAGAGGTCCACTACCATAGACATGCCTACATACTAAATACCTAGAGTGCATGGATCTATATTACTTAAAGAAAGAGTATTTCTATAGTACATGGATCTATATTACTTAAAGAAATAATATTAATTAAGAGTAAAAAATAAAAATTTTGGAGTTTACAAATTTTCTCCTTTACAAGTGGTATATCCGTGTTCCGGGCTCTAATCTGGGCCATTTTTGTGGAGCCCAAATTTCCAAACGAACAAATTGGGCGTTTTAGCCCAGCATCTATTCGCTCCAATTCGAAAACCGTCATCTCCTCCTTCGTTCCTCTCGTAAGGCTTCAGAGCTCCCAGCAGTTTCTCTTTCGGCTTTCGGGGATACGAACCCTTACGGTTGGTTAATTTAAAATTTTAATTTGAGCTAAAATATGATGTTATATAAAAAATTTTTATTGTAATAAAAAAATTAAATGTAATTATTTTTAAAAATTTTTTAAGGAGAAAGAAGAAAATATGTCAAGATTTGAGATGAATTAAAATTAATAGGTCAATAGTTTACATAAGTTAATAAATAGGTTAAATTACTGTTTTTGTCCATAACTTGTCTGGTTATGAACCATAACTTGACAAGTTATTGTCCATAATTTACGATTTTTATCAATAACTTATCTGGCTATAAACCATAACTTGACAAGTTTATCCATAACTTATTTGGTTATGAACCATAACTTAACAAGTTATGGCCTATTAATTTGTATAACTAAAAATTGACCTATATACTTTCTTAAACTTTTCATATTGGTCTATGTTCTACTATTTCTGAATTTTTTATTATAATAAAACTTAAGTCTCGTTCACTTTACAGATTTGAGTTTTTAATTTGAGTTAAGATGTGACATTTGTTGAGAACTTTTTATTATAGTAGAAAAAATTAAACATGATATTTTCTAAAAAAATTTTACTGTAAAAATTTAAAATTGAAAACTCAAATCAGTGAACTGAACGAAGCCTTAAATTCTAAAGTGAAATCAACGAAAAGTAGGGACCTCAATCTTCGTCTTCCTTTCACCCATGGTCACAGAACTCTCTCTGACTTCTCTAAAATGGCAAAACCAGAGAAATTATATTTTACTGTAAAAATTTAAAATTGAAAACTCGAATCAGTGAAGTGAACGAAGCCTTAAATTCTAAAGTGAAATCAACGAAAAGTAGGGACCTCAATCTTCGTCTTCCTTTCACCCATAGTCACAGAACTCTCTCTGACTTCTCTAAAATGGCAAAACCAGAGAAATTATTGCCCGCCATGTGCATTTCCTCTGTCCCAGCTCGTCTCACTCTTCTCGCCCTCCTCTCCGCCACCACTTTCTACTGCTTCTACAAATTCCATCGCCTCAGAAGCCTCAGAATTTCCCTAAACCCTAACCCTAACTCTAAATCTTCCTCTTGCTTTCGCAGAGGCAAGCTCCTCTTCATCTCCGAAACAGGGACTTCCAAAACCCTAGCCCGTCGTCTTCTCGATCTTCTGAACTCCAACGACCTTGCGTTTGACCTTGTCGACGCCAAGGCTTACGAGCCCGAGGACCTCCCCAAGGAAACCCAAGTTCTGATCGTCGCTTCGACGTGGGAGGACGGAAAAGCGCCTCCGAGCGGGAGGTTCTTCGCCAATTGGCTCGCCGAGAGCGTCGAAGACTTCAGGGTCGGATCGCTGTTGTTATCGCAATGCAAGTTCGCAGTTTTCGGCGTCGGGAGCCGAGCTTACGGCGCGACGTACAATGTGGTGGCGAGGGACTTGTCGAAGCGGATGAGGGGGCTGGGCGCGGCGGAGATGTTGCCGGTTTGGGAAGGGGATGTCGACGGCGGCGATCTGGAGGAGGCGTTCGACGCTTGGAGCGCGAAAATGGTGAAGGTTTTGAATGACGATGTGGTGGAAAATGGTGGAGCTTTGAGTAATGGAGTTGGTGCTGAGAGTGATGCAGAGAGTGATTATGAGACGGATGAGGAGTACAGCGTAGAGTCGGAAATTGTTGATCTTGAGGATATTGCTGGCAAAGGACCTTCGAGGAGATCACCGGTAGTGGTTCAAACTAATGGGACTTCGAATGGGAAAAAAGATATGGTTACTCCAGTAATTAGGGCGAGTCTAGAGAAACAGGTGTTGTTTATTTATCCTTTTGCAGGAATCACTTTCTACATAGAATCTTATTTTGATATACTGATTGGCTATTTTGCAATGACCTTAAATGTGCAGGGATATAAGATCATCGGTTCACATAGTGGTGTCAAAGTCTGTAGATGGACAAAGTCACAACTTAGAGGCAGAGGGGGTTGCTACAAACATTCATTTTATGGTATAGAGAGTCATAGGTAATTTTCATCAGAGGCTTGTGATTAGCTAAGTTTTTGGTTAATGAATTTTCAGGGCTTTTTTTTTTTTTTTTTTGTGTGGGTATGTTACTATGTTATGAGTTATCCACTTTTTTATTTGATTTAGTGGACTTTAGTTGATAAGTGGTAATGTGATGAAACAGGTGCATGGAGGCGACTCCTAGTTTAGCGTGTGCGAATAAATGTGTCTTCTGTTGGAGACATCACACGAATCCTGTTGGAAAGAGTTGGCAGTGGAAGATGGATGATCCGTTAGAGATTGTGAATTCTGCTATTGACCAGCACACAAAGATGATTAAGCAGATGAAAGGAGTTCCGGGTACTTTGAAGTTTTAATACGAGTTATATGGACTGGCATGTATGATGTATAGCATAATGATAAATAAACTAGATAAAATCCTGTTAGGATGGCTGAGTTCTATATTGTTAAAGTATGAACTTAGCATGTGGATTATAACTATTTGGGTACCCTCTCCCTATAAGTTAGTTTTTGGGATGAGTTCTACCCAAGGGTTATAACAATTGGTATCAGAGCATGTCTTACCTCAGGCTCACATTTCGGAAGGGGTGACCTGGAAAGGCCAGAGTGGGCCATCCAGAGTGGGCTGCTGTGGACGTCGGTGTCAGAAGCGTGGTGGTATTTAGGATCCTGGTTGAGTCCTACATTGCTAAAGTATGGGCTTAGCATGTGAGTTTATAACCACTTGGGCACCCTCTCCTTAGTACAAGCTAGTTTTTGGAATGAGTTCTACCCAAAAATTATAACAAATCCCTCTACAATGCTTGCTTTTTTTTTTTTTTCTATTTGAGCTACACACTTGTTCATTCCTCAGAAGTTTCAAGCCAGCTATCCAAAATATGTCTAATCTAGCAAGCTATCTGTTCAGAAGTTTTTTGTGATTTACAAGCGACACGTTTCCCAATTAAATTAAAGAAAGCATTGCAATTATGGATCTACTTTAGTCTTCACAGCTTATTTACCATGGATATTTCTTGAGTTGAGGACTTATAATATTTCCTAAATGAAATGTCTGCTGATATTTAAGTGATCCCTATAGAGATCTTCTTGTGCAGGTGTTACACTGGAACGATTAACAGAAGGTCTCTCTCCCAGGCATTGTGCCTTATCACTTGTGGGTGAACCCATTATGTATCCCGAGATTAATACACTTGTTGATGAGCTGCACCGGAGGCGGATTTCAACTTTTCTAGTAACAAATGCTCAGTTTCCTGAAAAGATTAAGATGCTGAAGCCTATAACCCAGGTTCACATGCTACTGTTATTCTTTCTATTTCTTAAAACACATTTCTTACGTGTTGTATCCTTTTTTTCTTTTTTAATTTTTTAATGGTAAACTTCGGCTGGACCGTGCAGTTATATGTAAGTGTTGATGCTGCAACAAAGGATAGTTTGAAGGCAATTGATAGACCACTTTTTGGGGACTTCTGGGAGAGATTCCTTGTAAGCACCTTTTCCCCTCCTTTGTTCATGATATTGAGGTAGGTTTTTCGTCTTACTCTTATATAGAAAGTTAAATAGGCAAAGGAATGTGAAAAATTATCTCATGGAGAAAAATAGATAGATATATACATAGAGGAAGTTCTAGTTACCTATATTCAGTTTCGAGGTTACTTCTCTAAATTCAAGGTTCAACTAATAGTTCCTGAATTTCATGGAAGAATTGCCCTTTTGGGATCTAATTTCTGAGATGCAAAATCATAATGCCTTGTTGCATGGTCTAAATGATCCATTTCAACTTTCAAGCATTTTTCCTATCTGAATTATAGCATCCATTCTCGTGGCTGGGGATAAAAAGTAATAAAGCCATAAGCTGCTTGCTAATTGTAAAATCAATCTGATCTGGACCAGTGTTGAACCTGCTCTGCAGAAAAAAGCTACATAATTAACAAAATAGACTGTCTAGGAAAAAACCCCAAGTAGTTGATATAATATTTACCCATTTTTGTTTTTCATCATTTGAATTAATATGATTTAGCAACTCAGTTGTTACTTTCATGCGTGATATTTTACTCCCAGGATTCTCTGAAAGCTCTTCGAGATAAACAGCAGCGTACTGTTTACCGCTTGACTTTAGTGAAAGGGTGGAATACAGAGGATGTGGATGCGTATTTTAACCTCTTTAGCATCGGCAAACCTGATTTCATTGAAATCAAAGGCGTTACATATTGCGGATCGTAAGTTCTTACTTTTTTGTTTGGTGAAATTTGGTGCTGGGCCAATTTTTTTTTTCATTATTTTTACTTTTTTTCTTTTTAAATCATCTCTAATCATGGCAATCCCTGCAGATCTGCTACATCAAAGTTGACAATGGAGAATGTGCCTTGGCATTCCGAGGTTAAAGCTTTCTCGGAGGCCTTGGCCTTAAAAAGCCAAGGGGAGTATGAGGTTGCATGTGAACACGTACACTCATGTTGCGTCCTCTTAGCAAAAACTGAGAAGTTTAAGATTAATGGTCAATGGTTCACGTGGATAGAATATGAAAAGTTCCATGACCTGGTTAGTTGCAGCAATGATTTTTTTTTCTCGGTTCTTTTATGCTTATATTGTTTAATGATTTCCTACTTATGAAATATGGATAATGCAGGTCGCATCTGGAAAAGCTTTCGATAGTAAGGATTACATGGCTGCCACACCATCTTGGGCTGTCTATGGAGCAGAGGAAGGTGGGTTTGATCCAGACCAATCAAGGTATAAGAAAGAGCGACATCATAACAGACCAAACCGAGCCACCGCCAGGCCAGGTTAGAAACCTTACTGGCATTGGACGAGAATTTTTCTTTTTTTGTCATTTATAGATTCGTCTTTCACTTCTGTACGACAGATTTTTTATTAACGTCATTCTGAATATATACAATGCTCTTGATCCGGATCCATATACTGAGACCTGCACTGCGGTTATTCATTTTTTAAGGCCCCGTGTTCTTTCTTATTGTCACTTGCCCAAGAGCTCAGTTTTGTCTGGTAAAGTCGACTAGATTAAATGAGAAGATCAATCTGGTTCCTTTGCCTTCTCTCTCTTCCTTTTATGCACTTTATAATTGTGATTTAGTAGCCCTTTTCTCTTTTCTTCTTCTTCTTTCTTTTCTTTTCTTCCTTTTTTTTTTTTTTTTTTTTTAATTTATGCCACATTTCAAGATCGATCTCTTTAACGTGCTAAATAAACTAGTGTTGTGTGTGTAGAAAAATGCTTGGGGCACCATCATTGATAGAAAATGGTCCCACTCATGAACTCCATAATGTGAGACTTACAGTTTATTAGTGAGCACCACTGGTGCACTATAAAATTATTCATATACATATACATGCATTTATATGTATACATGCATATTTGAATATGTGCACTTGAGAAATTATGTAGTAAATGAATTTCTTGAGGACCAACATCCTAAATAGCTTCCAGTCTGAATCAAACGTCAGTTCTTCTCCAACCTCCGCCCGTGAACCTGAATTACACTCTACTAATTTCCAAATCCTCGAAATCAAAATTCAGTCATAAACTGTGGTCCGGGTTTGCCAGTAAACTGTGGGCTTCGATTAGTTGCTACTCATTTGTGCTAGGATTCTGAAGTAAAAGCTTTGGTGCTGTAGTTCCCTAGGTAGAAAGAAGGCTTCGAACACATTTTGGAATCATGTCATCAGTGTATTTGATGCACCATCTAATCAACATCAGGGAAAAATATTATTGTTGGATGGATGACAAATCAGAGTTTCTTTTGCTTGATGGGACCCTAGGCCTGGCAGCATTCAAAGTCAACAACCGGGACCTTTATTGCCAAGGAGTGACCATCCTTTTTTAAGTTTTAGCATTAATGGCCTTCAGAATTATTCTCTTCAGTTTTCACCTTGTTTCTCATCAAGAAATGTGTTTTCCCTTCGTCCACTTGTAGCAAGTTCTACAAGCGAGAGCTCCTCTACCCGTCATCGATCGCTTTCAGTGCTCAATTGGTAGTAGCGTTATTCTCATCATCTTAATTAAGCAGTTTACACAGGTGTTATGCAGGTGGTCTTTTTTTTTTTTTAAAGTAATTTGGAGAAATTAGATTTTTGGCTTTTAGCCTCTATTCTTGTTTCTATTTTATTTGTTTAAAAAAGCTTCGTGGTGGGGTATTCCCATGTTTTTTAGTGTGAGTTTTGATAAAACAACATTAATATATATATATATATTTAAAAAAAAAAAGCTAAAACCGAGAAGTTGATCAAAATTGGCTTTTAGCTTCTATTTTTGTTTCTGTTTTATTTATTTGGGAGTTTTTCACGGTTGGTATTTTCATATTTTCAAATTTGTTGGTTGATGTTTGGTTCATGGGTTCATAACTATAGTTCATAATTCTGATTTTTGAAATTTAAATTTTTTGTGAGAAAAATATTGTAACAGAATTAAGAGCTATGATTCTAAATTAGACATAACTCGAGTTGTATATGTCTGGCAATTTAAAATAGTCTTGCTGTTGGATTTTTTTTCGCACTGTAAATATTTTTATTTCATTTTTTGCTACATGTAAAACTAAGGATTTTTTACAGTTAAAAGAAAAAACACTAATGATTCTTTCTAAATATTAATCTCAAGCTAATCATTCTCATTTAATTATAAGTCTTGGACGGCGGGAATTCATTCTCGTTATTAATTTTCTTTTATTTTTTTTTCAAAGATGAAAAAAAAGAACGTAGACATAAACTAAAGAACAAAAAAACTTTTTTATGATTTATTAAAAATCTGTTTAGTTTGTTAATTTGAGTTTTTAATTTAAGTTAACATATAATTTTATGTGAAAATTTTTTACTGTAATAAAAAAGTTAAATATGATTATTTTTAAAAAATTTTATTATAATAAAATTTAAAATTTGAATTTAAATCGGTTAATTGAACGTATGTTAAATGTCCCCACCAAATTGGGGCTGTTGCACCTAAGTGCCTCTCCCGTCCTTAATTATATGTCTCATTCTATATTTAGGAAATGTCAACGTCTTTAGTACGCCTTAATATGTTCCTACACATCAGCCACTACTACGTTTTTTTGATAAAATTATTCTGTCTTTACGTCTCGTCTAAACATGTTGTCAGGAAGTGCCGGGTATAACGTGTAGATTTTTTTTTTTAATAGAAATCCGGGTACAACAAGTTGCCAATTGGAACTGGAGTCCGGGCAGCATGGGTCCCACTGAAAGAGAGCGTGAACAGCCGTATAGCTTTAGACAAATAATTTTTAATAATTTGATTTCAAGGAAAACATCGAGGTCTCGTCTTTTTATAGATTTTAATTTTTAATTTAAATTAAAATGTAATATTTTTTAAAATTTTTAATTATAGTAAAAAAAATTACATATGATATTTTTTTAAATTTTTTAACTGTAAAAATTAAAAATTAAAAATTTAAATCAGTAAAATAAACGATACTTGAAATAAAAATTCTATTGGACTCAAATTATTTAATTTTTATAATTATCGTGTAGTATTTACACGTGAAATTTTGTATTATCCATAATTATAAAAGAAAATATTTTAATTTGTCAAAAAATAAAGCATTTAAAACAAAAGAACATATTATTGACTCTTGATAAAAAAAAAAAAAAAAATCTTCCATGCTTATTCATCTTCAGACTTATGTTTTTTTTTTTTTTTTTTTTTGTTATTGGCCCCAAATAGTTCTTAATTTATTGAGTAAGTGACAGTTTGATTCTCAATTTTTTTTTAGCAAATTGACTTAGCATTTTAAAACACGTGCAATCTGGTCATTTCTGTCAAGATCCGTCTAAAAGTTAACGGTGTAATCTGGCCTTTCTGTCAAGATCTGTCTAAAAGCTAACGGTGCAATCTAGCGTTTTCTGTCAAGATCTGTCGAAAAGTTAACGGTCCTCTCTAGAGTTCCATGGAGCAGCCATGAGCGCCAAACCACCACCTTCACCACCATCCACACAAACCGCAACACCAACACCAATCTCTTTCTCTCCTCCACTAAACAACCGATTTTCCAAGACTAAGCCCTCCTTTCTCCTCTCCCAGAGAAAGACCGAGGAAGCCCGGGTCACGTGGGTAGTCACGTGCATTGGACCGTTAGCTTTTAGATGGATCTTGACAGAAATGTTCAGATTGTACATGTTTTAAAATGTTATGAGTTGATTTGCCTAAAAAACATCTGAGGACCAAACTATCACTTACTAAATATGTTTGGGACTATTTATGCCAATAACCTTATATATGAGTTAGCTGGTTTGAACCTGAATCTCTCCCTTAAATACACCCAATCTTGACTAGAAAAAAAAATAATAAAAAAAACAGTTAAAGTTTAGAACTTTCTTTAATAGTTTTTGTAAAAATAGATTACTAATAATTTTTTATTTTTTAGTGGTCAGATGTATATCAAGATATGTTTATTATATTTTTTTTACTAATGTAATTTTAATCAAATTTAATAATTTAAAACTGAAACTATTAATAAGTGAAAATACAGAGAAACTTAAAATTGTACCAAAACGTCCTCCTAGTCCTAACAGTTTGCTGCAGTTTTTTTTTTTTTTTTTTTTTTTTGGCTAATGCTACGGTTTAATTTTGAGAGCTGCGTGTAAAAATAAAATTTATATAACTGATTTTAATTAAGTTGAGATTAAGGCTTCTGACGGCTAATGCTACAGTTTCCTGCAGTTGTACAAGACATTTGTTCACGCTTTCTTCTGGATTTACCTCCTTTTTGACTTTGTCCATTTATTACGAGAGACCAAATGCTAAACTCAAATTCACAGCCCTCTTGCTTCACGCGCCCATCAAACTCCGTCTACTTCACCTCCCCTTCTGATTGGCCTATCGGGGCGGCTAGTGAACTACCAAGCCATGTTGCTTCTCGAGAAGTGGAGCGTCACTCACGCGCTAACCCCGGTCAGTTGGCACCTGATACTTGCCTCTTCGGTTCTTCGTAACAGTGGCAGCAACTCAGGCTACAGAGTCGCGTAATGAGACATAGATATGTTCGACAGTCTCGTAAAAACTTAAAACTTTCGTAAAAACTTCAAACTTAAAAAATATAACTCAAATTTTAATTTTATTTAAATTTATATTTTTTTTAAATTTAAATTCAAGTTTAAATTTGTGTTTATCATTAAAATTTGAGTTCAAGTTTTCTCTTCAACTCAACTTCAGAAATTCAAACTCAAATTAATAAATAATATTTTTTCTATTATTAAAAATGTTATAACTTTTCGTTTTAATCCTAATTGAGATGATTTTTTTTCTATGCGTTGACAACAAAAAGACGAATAAAACTCCATCCATATACCCTATTAAAATTTTTCATCACCATTGAGTTTTTATTAAAATATTATCTAAATATAAATTTAAGTTTTGATTCACTCAAACACAAATTCAAAAAGATTCTTATCTCAAACTATAACTTAAATGTACACAACTAAACACAAACTCAAGTTATAATTTCAACTCAAGTTATAACTCAAATTCAACTCAAAAATTATACTCAAATCACACTCTAAAAAAATATGCTAAATTTTTCGTCTTTCTTACCTGCAGTTGTAAGCCTCAAAAAGCTCTTCTTCTAAAGTCTCAACTAGTCTTCAATGTCTTTCTTATTCTTGAAGATAGTTTTTTTTTTTAATGGAATTTCCTTTTAATCAAGTACATTTAAGATGATACTTAAATTTTTGCTAGTCAAGATGATACTTAAATTTAGGAGATATATTTGTTTAGTATATTAGATGTTTTCTTATTGTTCTCGGACTATATAGGGAATAAATAAATACACTAAGAATTATATAGTGCGTTTAAAATTAATTTTTATTTATTTTTTAAAATGTTTTTACACATTTTTTGAGATGCAAAAATGAAAACAGTCTGTAAATTATATTTATTAAACAAATGTTTTGAAAAAGAAAGCAAAAATAAAAAACAGTTGGGCCATTTGGTAACGTTTTCAATACAAAAGTAAAAATGAGATTATTTTGAGAATCATTTCAGAACCGATTTTAAAATTACGTTTAGTTATTTTTTAAGATATTATTTTGAGTATAATAAAAAAATAAATCGTGTTTGATTATAATTCTGAATTAATATATTATAACATTATTGATAAGTACTAGAAAATAAAAAAGAGAAAAGAGAAAACAAATTTTAATCGTTTTTTAATTTTTTTACAAAAACAACTCTCATTGTTAGTTTTCATTTTCAAAACGTTTGCTAAACAAACACGATTTACAACAGTTTTCATTTTTGTGTCTCAAAAGACGTGTAAATATATTTTAAAAAATAAGTAAAAATTAATTTCAAACGCACTCAGTGAGAATAATTTTGTGAACAAATTAAAAACAGTTAAATTTTTTTTTATTTTCATTTTTTAATACTTATTAATAATATTATAATATATTAATTAATAATTATAAAAAAATACTATTTTATTTTTTTATTATATTTAAAATAATTTTTTTAAAAATTAACTAAACGTAATTTTAAAATCAATCTCAAAATAATTTTTAAATAATTTTATTTTTACATTTATATTAAAAATAAAATCATTTTAAAAACGTTACTAACCACAATAATTTCTTGGCCTAAAATTTTAGGATTTTCTGTCCAACCTTTATTGCCAATAAAGGGATACTTCTTTTTTTTTTTGGGATAAGAATAAAGCATGGGATACTACTACTAATACTAAATGTCACTTTCGTTTTTATTTTCCTTAAGTTTTATGCTCAGAAAATCCGTCGACACAAATTTCCTCACGTATATATAGCAACTATCCAGGAAAAGAAAAAAAAAAGTTGAAGAAAAACCAATTTACAAATTGCTTTAAACACGCTCAATAGGTATTGATGAATCCCCGCTCCTTTGCATACAGAATTGTTTTTGATGATCATAGAAATAAGAAGTTAAGCAATTACTGCAAAAGAAAAAAAAAAAATCAAGCCCTCTCTTTCCCACTTTTGATGTGTAGTTGTACCATTCTATCTTCCTTTTTTCTGGCGGAGAAAAATAGAAGCAAAATAATGAAAACTCCAGTACCAGAAGAAGCTACAAGTCCAACATGAGAAAACAAAAACGAAGAAAGAATCATTTTGATCTTCTCTCTCTGTTTTTTTTTTTTTTTTTTAAACAAATCCCACCACTTCCCCCAATCAATACAGAATTAGAGGACCCCAATAAAGGAAATAAAAAAAAAGAAAAAGAAAAAATAAGGTTTTATGTACAAATCCATAAGCTGCTAATTATATTAATTTTCAACTACTACTCTTTATGGGTATGCTTTTTCTCCTACCTCTCCTCCTCGGAAGCTCCTTATTCGATTGCCCTTCTTCTTTCTTATCACCTTCCATGGCCTGTAGCACTACTGAAGATCCTTCTTCCTTTATCTTCTGCGTTTGCCTTTGATGATTATCATCATCTTCTTCTTCTTCTTCTCCTTTAATTTTCTTGGATATATTTCCAACAGCTTCTTGATCTGATTTGGATGATGCAGGTTGTTCTATTTCCGTCGTCGTTTCAGTGCTTTTCTCGATGACGATCTTGCGAGGCCTACCTCTCTTTCTAGGCGTATGAAACTGTGGCTGAGATTGAGTAGTATGCGCCGTTTCACTAATATTATCAGCCGTTGATGAAGCTTCTGCTATGGCTGCTGAAAGCTCCTTCGTTTTCTGTGGCTTCTTCTTATTACCCATATTATCTCCACCTTTATTAATATTCTGTATCATCAAATCTTTGATCAATATCTCTGTGTGTCTGTGTGTGTTTAAATTAAATTCACCTATTACAACCAAGGCAAAACCGCAGCGCCTTCTCTCTCTCTCTCTCTCTCTCATCCAAAGACAAGTCGACCCAATAAAGACGAGTCAAGGGGGAAGAGATTTTGCTAAGCTAGTAGCTATTTTGAATATTAATAAAAAGGATACCAAAAAGACTAAAGGAAAGCCACTAAAATATAAATATAAATACATATATATATATATATATATATATCCCCACGGGACGGGTCCTAGCTATTTGATCTTCAGAATTAGATATGATGAAATGATAAAGAGGGATTAGCTCTTACGAGAGAGAGATACAGAGAGAGTAGATTAATGGAGGGAAATAGTGGCTGGGTAGGGGTGTTAACTATGGTTTAAGTTGGACCAAAGTGCGTATGAAAAGGGTGGGGGGGAACAAACATCATATTCATGGGTGGGTATTTTTACGTGGGTAAGATTTGAGGTTGAAAGAAAGAGCCCGTACGAGTCAGACTCAGTGTTTCAGTCTGACCGCTTGTGTCGCTTCCCCGGGGTTTCGTGTCTTGAGCCTTCTTTGATGGGATAGTTTGGTAATTGTGTGAATTTTAAAAAAATTATTAAAAAGAAATAGTTGTTATAAAAAGTAGTTTAAATATCGGTAAATTATAATTGTATTAGTTGCGTTATTTTTAAAATTAGTATAATAGGGTTTTGTAAATTGTAAAGTTAAATTGCTGCGTATAGTTAAAATAACTAAAAGAAATATGAAATTTAAATATATATAATTATTTTTTGTATTTAGAAATACTTGTTTAACTTAGAAAAAAAACATAATGTTATGATTCTGAGTTTTCTAACAATAAATTTATGATAATAAATTTTTTTTTTCATTTATTTATTCACAATATAGTTACAACAAAAAGGAGCATTAGTGAGCAATCAACATATACAACAAAAATGTACATTCCATGTTCCAACTTAGACCAGTTTCTTTTCCAATAAGTTTCTTTCAAAGCTTCTAATCATTCTTTAAAGCATCTCACTTATTCTTCAATTATTGTCTTTTATATACTCATTTTGTTGCTTTATTAAATTTTTGAATTTAATTTTCCCATCGAACTTTATCAAGATGAGTTCTTGGACGACCTCCATCTTCCACCTCTTTGATACACAAATCACAAAACAAATCCACAGTCTCGGAGTCTCATATTGCTTTGCCTTGTGGTATACTATCCTCCATTTGAGAAATGATAACTAAAAGTCTAAAAAAATGTGAGGCTTCATGCTTTACTTTACATAAATAATAATCAGAACACTAAAAACCATTTTGTGGAGGAAAATAAGGGTAATACTACTCTTACTTTCAATTGGAACACTCAATCAATAGCCAAGTTAATCATAGCTTCTAGTCCTAACTACTTCACCTCAATAATCATAGACGCCTGAACCTAAATGAACACATTATTAGTTTTAAGTTTTCCATTCTAATAGTGAGATCAAATGGATTGGACTTACTGCCTACCTATCTTTCACATTCTAAATCCAAACGAAGTTGTATTTCTTCCAATTTAATTATTAAACTCCATATGACGTGGCTTCATCAAACTTCTAACTACTTTAGGAATTAGGTTCCAACAAATAGCTTTAACCAACAAACTACAAACAACATATTTAGGATACCTATAGTAATTATTTTGTAGTGAAGAAAATGAAAATATGCAGTTTTAAATGAGGTTTGGCATCATCTAGCACAAAGGCGAGATTAAACACATTAGTAACCAAAAGCTTATTTCGTCAGGATCATAATAGACATAAATAGAAGTCAAATTAAAATTAACAAAGGGAAAACAAGAAAGGGAAATAGAGAAATAAAAATTAAGGGAGGTTTGGCATCATCTAGCAAAACAAAAGTTTTAAATTGGTGCAATAAATAGTCATTTGCAGTTCTGCATTGAAAATGAGTTCTTCACAATTGCAAAATAGAAAGGAGTATTCACAAACTCATCTCAAGTTTCAAACAACCCGATTAACATAGAGAAAGATAATATACATATACATGACGAATTAAATGCATAATGATAAAAGAAAAGCACAAACCCAACAACAAGAAATGAAACCCTAACAGTTTTACTAGATTAATACATAAATCAGAACCAAATCAACATAGAGACGAAACCCTAACAAAATATATATTACCATAATTTTTATCAAAAAAATATGTCGATAAATCAGAACCAAATCCATAGAAACTAATCAATAAAGTACTTACGGAGGCCGGCGAATGGAGAAAGCGAAGAGAGAGACAGGTGAACGGAGAACGGAATGCCGGACACAGAGAGAGAGAAGAGAGAGAACAGAGGATAGAGAGTGCAAAGAGGTGATTGAGCGGAGAGAAGAGAGAATACCTCTGAAAAATATAATTAGCAAGATGATAATTTTTAAATTTTATTAGGGATAAAATTGAGAATAAAAAACTTTCATTAATCAACCTTAGCTGATTCCCGCGTAAGTTGAAATCAAAATCAGCCTTGCTTTTAGCTTCAGATCCAGTGAAAATTCTTCAAAACTCTGTTCTTTTTTTTTTACTTTTTACTAAACAGTTTTGACAGCTTTAGCTGGGTCAATAAAGTGATTTTTCTTTTCCAGAATCAATACCAAAGTGGGCCCATCTCTTCCTTACTATCCCTCCCCTTCCGTTTTTTTTTTTTTCCTTAAGAGAGTTTTGATTGCCGTTTTTTCGGTAGAAAACTTTTGATTCGTTGCACGTCCATGTCCTCTCTTTTCATCTTCGTCTAAAGAACATTTATTAATTTTGAGATTATATCAGGAGAATATGAAATTAAACATCAGAGAAGTATGAAATGTTAACAAAACTTAATGAAAATTTAAGGATTCAAGACTGCATCATATCAATTGAATTTTGTATCATACCTTGTCACATGGTTCTCTTATCATTTTTTTAATCTTTTTTTAAGTATCATAATTCATTTTAAATAACGTTAACGTGAGTGTGGATTATCGTTTTTTTTCCCCGTTTTAGAGTCTAATCAACGTTAGAATCAAACAATGTGTAATTATGATTTTTTTTAATGAAATTAAGGACGTAGTAAGCACTTATTATATATTTTTTAGTATGTGTTATTAAATTCCCTTTTATTATACTAGGATTTTATTCTAAGATACTTGACAGAAGCCTAAATTATATAAGGTTAATCCATTATAATTGTCTAACGGACAAGGTTTTGCATCTGAATTGGAATTAGACATGATGTGTGTTCCTTGAAGCCTGACTCGGGAGATATTTAGCACACGAGGCGTGTTTGGATGCAAGAAGCCACCCATGATGTGTGACTCTAATCACAATTTAGTCTGGTTGAGATTAAGATTACTGTTGTTCTTTAATTGTTTACATGATTTTTTTTTTATTTTTTATAAAATGTATGAAACGACTAAGTCGCATGTACCTTCACGAGAAAAATTTCAAACTCATCTGAAATGCCCAATTAGAGAATTTATTTTTATTTTTTTAAAAGGTTAAAGAATAGTAGGAAACAGAAAAATAACTTAAAAGAATATGAATATGACTAAGCAAAACTAATGATAAAATTAATAAAAGAAGGTTTTAATTTATGTAGTTTATTTGTTATTTCTTTAATGATAATGCTTAACCTAATTAGTACTTTCAATTATCTGTACTTAAAAGGTTCAATGAAGAAGAAAGAAAGAAAGTCCAATTGGTCAACTCAAGTGTGGAAGACCTCTCTCTCTCTCACACACACACACATTTATATACTCCTTATACGTCTTTCTAAACATAGTATAGCAACGAATTAAACAAGCTCGTTCAAGGTTTATGGAATAATTGGGTTATGTGTAGCTTCACTGTAACTAAATATAGATTTATAACAGCAATTTGAGAATGACGTTGAATTAGTATTTGGCACGATAGGAATAAGATATCTAACCACACAAGTGTATCAAATAGTTAGTTCAAATTGTAAATCTGCTAAGATGATTAGTGACTTATTTTTATAAATGATTATAAGTAACCTTTTCAATTGGCTTCAAGGATTCGAAGAATCTCTCAAAAGTGCTCTGTACCTAAAAGGCAGCACTTAGATTTGTATTATACTTGGCAAAACTCTTGTCATTTGTTTATCTGCATTGACCGAGTTTGAAAAATCACTGTCACTAATTTTTATTTACCAAAATTAAAGAAAACAAAACAATGCCCGAATATACCCGTGGAAAGCTCGTTGGGCCTACAATAAAACCCTACAAAATCATCGTCGTTTACGAGCAATCTTTAGTGGGCCAGAGGACCAAAACTATGCCGTTGAAATGGAGCGATTCAACTTGATTGTGCTGTTGTGGGCCGAGGCGCCGTCCGCTTTTGTTCTGAGTGAAGGGCCCTTCAGCGTTGCGGCATCCGGTATCTGCCACGTGTATCTATAGACCGAGTGGGACCTTAGTTCGTTAAGAAACAAGTGCTCCAGCCACAGCCTGCCAGCGATGACAGTGGAGACTCTTCAAGGGTCATGCTAATATTTACCTATTAAATAAGTATTATTGTTTTCATTTTTAAAAGAAAATTATTAAATTTATCCTTAAAAATAGAAGAAGAGTATGAATTTTTATTTCTTATTCTTGTCTCTTGATTATTATCCTTTTGTTAATATAGTTATTTAACTAAAAAAGTATTAATAAATAATAACAAGTAAAAATTAAGACTCATACATGTTTAAATCGTATTTGTTAATTTTTTTTTTGTTTTAATCATAAGATATTTATCTAAATTTATATATTTAATGATAATTACTGATATAGAGACATAACTATTAAAAACTCGTCAATATATATAAATACATATATACATATATGACATATTAAATAGGTCTTCTCCTTACATCGTGAAACCTAGTGAAGAATGAAAATATGATTTATAGATTATGAGCATCCTTCTTATGAAGTAAATTGTTTGCCTTGTGACGAATAATAATTAGCGAGTGCTACCACAAGTACTTTCGTAAAACAATTTCTTCTTCGTTGTAATGACGCCAATAAACACTATGTCAAATAGTGTAGCATAGATAGAGTGGAGGGGAGCCCAAATTTAGAAGACTATAGGTTCGATCTCAATATATTAAAAAAAGGAGAGTACAACGTTACAAAGTGAGAGAGAGTTATTCAT